AAATTAATCACTGTTGGATCTCGCATAGGGAATTGTGACATGCATACTTGTTTGACTCAATGAAGCTAATTTTGTTAAGCAATATTGGTGAGGTATTGCAATTCATGGCCAGTCCAATAGAATACACTACCACCTCCTGGCACATATTCCATGTTCGTCCATTTCAAAATGGGGAGTATCATGATCCCAAAAAAACAGCCTCTATTGAGTCTACATCTGGTCCCATGTTCTCATAAGAAAAACAATCCACTCGAATTAGTTTGTACGCTGGTCCAATCCAAAGAATAGTTTGTACGTTGGTAGCTATATATTTATTTCCTCGTATTTGCTCTACTGAACTGCTGATGATACGTGAGGCTCTTTCATTGTATAGGGCGGCGACGACCACGAAGTGAGAATCAACATAGACCGGCACGTGAATGTACCCACTCAGGAGTCTGCGTTGCAGTTAATCGCACGTGCGCTGGGAACAGTGGGTTCCCACACCCTGGTTATGGACGTGCACACGATGCTCCACAAGTCGCCCAGCGGAGTGGTCTTCGGCCACAACAAGCTTGCCTACTACTAGGGGTTGGGGCGCCACCCGGTGGCGCCTCTTGAGCCGGAGCTGGGCGGTGCCAGGTAGGGTGCGCCCCTTCCTCCTTCATGTATGTACTTACTAATTTATGTGATTGTTGTTAAGCAGCTGATATTTGAAACAGAGTAGAGCAACAGAAATAAACAGAGATACTCTCTCCGTTTCTAAATATTTGTTTTTCTAAACATTTCAAATGACTATTACATACAGATGTATGTAGACATATTTTAGAGTGTAGATTCACTCATTTTGCTTCGTATGTAGTCACTTGTTGAAATGCCTAGAAAGACAAGTATTTAGGAACGGAGGGAGTAGATAAGAGTCTTAGTATAGATATAAACATGTGCAGTTGCAGCTGATAGGTGGCAATCTTAGAGCCTACATAGCAAGAACATATACGCTAGCTGTTCAAAGGCAGCACATTGCAGCGTCCAAAAGGGGAGGCAAGGTTCAACACCTCGTAAAGGGTACTTGGAGGTTCCAAGATTGATGGATTTATATCCATATGAAGCTTTTGTTGCTGTTGATGATGCGTCTAGAGGCGATGCTGTCACGGGAACTACTGAAGGCCAAGGCCCAGCACCACCAGACCGGCCCAGGAGGGAGAGCCAGGCCAACCGCCAAGTGACCGGGCCCATGTGGAGCAAGTGAGACTACTTAAAGGCGAAACGAGTGGAGAACTAGGCCATCGATAGATCAGACCTGACGGCGCCGCAAGGGCGATGTATCCTCTCTCACCTCTGGCTCTCATTCCCCGATCCCCTTTCTTGCTGAAAAACCCTAGCTACTTGTATCTTCGATCTGATCATCTGAGAGTAAATCCTATCGCCTAGACACAAGATCCATGTCATTTGGTATCAGAGCCATAAATCCCACCAAAAATTCCTCATTCGTAGCGCATTCTGGCGCCGAAGACACGTAGCATCAAGGAGATCATGGCGGGGGTGGATGTTCATAAGCAACTGGATGAAGCGGCGGCGGAGCGGAGCGGCATCGCCAAGGCCCTCCTATCGATTCAGCAGACGCTGGATCGAATAGCCCCTGCGGTCGCCAGCATGGAGCCCGCGGTAGCGAAGATGGAGCCCGCACTCATTGCTCTCGAGCCGGTCGTCCAGGATCTCGCGACCTGGCGGCCCACCGTGGACGCCGCGGTGGGGCAGCTCCAGACGGATCTCGGCGATATCCGGACGCAGTTGGAGAAAATCGCGTCAGGGGGCGCACAAGCCAACAAGATGGCGCCAGATCTTTGTACGGCGGACGCGCCATCATCCACACTCGAGCAAAGTGACGACGGTCACGGGCAAATTGGCCACCGCAGGGCTCTACTTCCACGGGTTTCGGCTAGTGAGGGACCGATCCTCACTACGCCGGTCCCGGCCAATGGTATGTTCCGAACTCCTTTTCCCCCTCTCCCTTCCCTTGAGTTGGGCGGTGGTGGTCACCAAGGAGGCATGAGTGGTCGTTTTGGCAGCAAACTCATGGAGTGTCCTGAATTTGACGGCGACAACCCCACGGGTTGGCGTCTCCGCTGCGAGGCCTTTTTCCGTGTGAATGGGCTCGATCCGCACGTGTGGGTGGACACAGCTATCGTTCACTTCACGGGGGCGGCTGCTTTGTGGTTAGAGTGGTCCAAAATGCATCTTAAGAGTGATAATTGGGAAAGGTTTTGCATAGCCGTGCTAGAAAAATTTGGCCGCTCTGAATTTCAATTACTTCTGCGCAAGTTTTCGAAGCTGAAGCAAACAAGCTCGGTTCTCGAATATGCTGAACAATTCAATTTGTCCATGCACAGTCTGTTAGCTCATCATAGCTCGTGGGATCCCCTATTCTTTACTACCCAATTTGTAGAAGGATTACATCATGAGATTAAGGTTGATGTAATGCTTCATCGACCCAAAGATTTGGAAACTACTGTCTCTTTGGCTGAATTGCAGGAAGAGGTGGTCGAATTGGTGCGCCTGGAGTAGGAGAACAATGCGCCGCCTCAGCCGGGGAGCAGCAATACGCGAGCGGGGCGATTCACCTCATGGCCCCCGTTGGCCCTCACCCTGTCGGCGCCCACAACTGCGGGGCGTACCTCACCAACACCATCGCCACTTGAGACACGCCACGGGCTCGACATCACCAAGGCGCCCGCGGGCTCGTCTCCGTCAGTGGACGACAAGCTCAAGGCCTTGCGCAACTTCAGAAAAGCGCGGGGACTCTGCTTCACTTGCGGAGAGAGATGGGGGCCAGGGCATACCTGCGCTTCCACGATGCAGTTGCACGTTGTGGAGGAAATGGTGGGCATGCTGTCGCCACCAACATCACCAGACCCCTCGCCAAGTGCTCAGGTTGATAGTTCCGAAGAGGACTTATGTTTGCTGTCGGTGGCTGCTGTCACGGGTACAGAGGCGCCTAAAGCTTTCCGGCTGCATGGCAAAGTGGGGAACCAAGTGCTGTTGATGCTGGTCGATTCAGGTTCTTCTCATAGTTTTGTCAATTCGGAGGTGGCTCGGAATTGGCCAGGAGTGCAGCAATGAAACAACCCCTGAAGGTGAAGGTGGCGGATGGAGCTGTCACCTTATGCGACAAGGAGATGCCAGTTTGTGAATATCAGATCCAAGGAGAGAAGTTCCGATCCACATTCAAACTCTTTCCGCTCGGCTGTTATGATATTATACTAGGAATGGACTGGCTCGAGTCCCGAGGGCTGATGACAGTGAATTGGACTGAAAAATCTATGGCTTTTCAACACAAAGGCAAACGGGTGCAACTCCAGGGGATAGATAGCTCAGAGATTGTTTGTGAACCCATCTCCTCTACCCAACTGAATCTGTTGCAAGCACGGACGGCCATCACTCATGTTTTGCTGGTGGTAGAAATCAAGGCAGATGTAGAAACGGCTCCAGTGCCGCCGGCAGTACAAGCGCTACTTGAGGAGTTCAGTGGCTTGTTTGAGGAACCGCAAGGCTTGCCACCATCACGGGAGTTCGATCACTCCATTGACCTTATACCAGGAGCCCAACCAGTGAATGTGAGACCGTACAGATACAACCCAGTTCAAAAGGACGACATTGAAGCGCAAGTGCGAGAAATGCTACGTTAGGGAATCATCCAGTGCAGTCGCAGTCCTTTTTCTTCACCCGTCTTGCTGGTACAGAAGAAAGACGACGAATGGAGATTCTGTGTCAATTACCGTCATTTGAATGCGATTACCATCAAAAACAGATACCCAATTCCGGTCATCGAGGAACTACTGGACGAACTGCATGGGGCAACAGTGTTTACCAGCCTCGATTTGAGATCAGGATATCATCAAATTCGGATGCGACCAGGGGATGAACCGAAGACTGCATTTCAAACTCATCACGGGCACTTTGAGTTCAAGGTGATGCCATATGGAGTGACGGGAGGGCCATTACCTTTCAGCATGGGATGCATATTGTTCTGGGGCCACTACTTTGCCATGGCGTATTGGTGTTCATCGACGACATCTTGGTCTTCAATAAAACACTCCGGGAACATATACAGTTATTGCGTGAAGTATTTCAGAGACTGGAAAAATACTCACTCAAACTCAAGATCAAAAATTGTGTTTTTGCACAGCCGCAGCTCAGGTATCTGGGACACGTGATCAGCGCGGAGGGGGTGCATACAGACCCCAAAAACATCGAGAAAGTTCAATCCTGGAGCTCACCAACTTCAGTGAAAGAGCTGCGACAATTTCTGGGGCTAGCTGGGTACTACCGCAGATTCATTAAGCACTACGGGGTGGTCAGTCGCACGCTCACGGACCTATTGAAGAAAGGCGTGACATACCAGTGGACAGACACGTGTGAGCAGGCGTTTCAAGCTCTGAAACAGGCCTTGACATCAGCCCCAGTGTTGGCCTTGCCGGACTTCAAACAACCCTTCACGGTGGAGACCGATGCCTCTGACATGGGTATAGGCGCTGTTCTCATGCAACGGCACCACCCAATCACCTTCTTGAGCCAAGCGCTTGGCCCTCGACATTGGATGTTATCCACTTACGAGAAGGAGTGCCTCGCCATCCTCATGGCAGTGGAGAGATGGTGACCATACCTGATGCAGTCCGAGTTCACCATTCGCACAGACCACCGCAGCCTAACGTGCTTGGATGACCAACGACTCACCACACCCTGGCAGCACAAGGCACTGTCGAAACTGTTGGGATTACAGTACAAGATCGAGTACCGCAAAGGGGCAACCAATCTGGCCGCTGACGCCTTGTCTCGTAGACCGACTGGGACCAACTGTTCAATCACGGTCTGCGTCCCTACGTGGCTAACTCAAGTCAAGCAAGGCTACAGTGCAGACTCAAGCTGCAGCGACATGTTGGATAAGGCAAAACAAGGGATTGCGCTAAAAGGGCCCTTCCAGGTAACAAATGGCCTCATCCGATACAAAGGAAGAGTGTGGCTGGGTCAAAACAAAGAGGCCCAGAACAAGGTGCTGCACGAACTACACTCCGGAGCACTGGGAGGACACTCAGGAGTCCAAGCGACATACAACCGCATCATCAGACTGTTTGCATGGCCTAAACTGAAGCAGGCCGTTAAGAAGTTCGTGGGCAATTGTGCCATTTGCAAGCAGGCCAAGCCAGAGCATGTCAAGTATCCTGGCCTTCTCCAACCTCTTCCAATTCCAGAACAGACTTGGGAAATGGTAACCTTAGACTTTGTTGAAGGACTGCCAAGGTCGAAGGGCTACAACTCCATCCTAGTGGTCGTGGATAAACTCACACGGTACGCCCATTTTATCCCACTCCGGCACCCATTCTCTGTGCTGCAAGTGGCCAAGGCATATATGGAGAATGTATTCAAGTTGCACGGACCTCCGGACAAGATGGTTTCAGATAGAGATTGGATTTTCACGAGTCAGGTGTGGCAAGAACTAGCCAAGCTGACACGGACCACACTGAACATCTCGTCGGCGCGGCACCCGCAGACCGATGGCACAACGGAAAGGGTGAACCAGTGCATGGAGCT